CTCAAGTGAGTGATTTTTCAAGTTCCTTGCCTTCTCTTTGCCGGGACTTCTAAAAAGTGGTAACTTTGAGCAAACACCCAAAAATTAAGACCTCAAGAAAACAATTATCGAAGGAAACTACTCACTCCCGGAGTGGGAAATCCAAGGCTTAGTGGACTACGTCTCAGGCGACTGTAGCTCGGTGGGTTTTACTTCGCAATCCCCCATGGGGCTCATGCGGTGAAGCTGGGCAACGATGCGTCCATTTCTCAAAATGTGAGCGTCAAACCAGGGCTCAGTTTATTCTCTGACATTCAACACCACCCGAACGTGTGCTCAAGACGAGGTGTTGAGGGTGCCGGGGAAGGAAGAATTTGGATTAGGCTAAGCATATAAATATATATATAGATATTAAAAGTTAACAATTAATATATCATTTATTTAAACTATTTTCAATTATTTTTTATTAATAAATTTGTTATTTATCATAATAATCATAATTAATTGTTTATTGTGCAGCCATAAATTCTAAAAAAAATAACTGTTCAAGAAGATGCAATAACGTCCCGAATTAAAACAAAAGGTATATGTAAACTATTTTCAGTTATTTTTTATTAATAAATTTGTTATTTATTATAACAATCATAATTTATTGCTTATTGTGCAGCCATAAATTCTAAAAAAGATAACTGTTCAAGAAGATGCAATAAAGTCCCGAATAAAAACAAAAGGTATATGTAAAATGCTTACCCTATTTAATGCATAGGGTAGCATTTTATATATATATATATAGATTAATCATTGGTGAACCCTACCTAACTAATACTCTTTGTTTTGTAATTTAACGTTGTTGAAAGTTGAAAACCATAACCATTAATTGTTCTTCTATGTTATCTATTAAGAATCACTTTTCTTTATTTATTGAGACTTTTACTTCTTATTGCCTCGACATGGTAACTCTACCCATTAGATTTGATACTAGTAAATAATTGCTGTTCTCTAAGTTAGAGATCTAGGGTCTAATTTTAAAGGTCAAAGCCTAAATGAATTCAATTGTTTTAAATGAACCAAATCAATAAAAGGTGCACACTTAAAATGCTTTGTATAAAAAAAAAATTGTCTAAGATTTCCTTGAGACGTAACATTGCATAATGAAAAGGGGAGTGTCTTTAATATTTCTCTTCTTATTTCTAAATAATTTTAATTATTTCATTGCAGTATCCAAAAGTAAAAATTCGAATTAATCATGCTATTTTTGATAAATAGTTTAGTTGACTAGAAAAAAAAAAAAAGAAATTAATAACTATAAAATAAGAGCCGTACTTAAATGACTCATCAGCTAAATAATTAAGGAGGAGCAGTTCCATAACAAATTAAATGGAAAGAGGAAGGCAAAAACATGGAAAATGAGCGTAAGATTGCCTTGTATTTCTTTGTTGACCTCGATCCATGCATTCCAATCTAAACTTCATCGGTTGGGTCGACTAAATCTTGAAGATATATCAACATCACTTTTAGTTTTAGAGCATGTTTGGGTTAC